AGAGAGAGAGGGAGAGAGATGAATTAAGGGGTGGTTTCTCCCTTTTTGTTCTAATAACAGTACATGGGCAAGTACTGATATATATTGTACTTGTAACTCAACCTAGGCCGAGTCATCTCACCAGAGTTTCTGATCGTTGTCTTTCAGAGGTCAATATCTTTCAGGATTTATGTTTATTTATAATTTTCCATATTCATAGGATTGTTTGCATCTTTTTTCTTTCTATGGACCATATTGATTATTTCTCAAGATTGATAATTGCCATGAAATACGAAGAATAGTTTCTTCAACTTTAGAAAAACTGCCATATAGTGCATATCAAGAGATCTTAAATACAACTAAAATGGAGGACTTCTCAGGTCAAAATCCTCAACAAACAGAGAGGGCATAAGAAAGGGGTAGAATAAGGGTAAAGCAAAAACAGTGGGGGCTGCAGGTCAAAACTCAAAATCCTCAACAAACAGTGAAAAGTACGACTAAGATCTGAGCACTCTTTTCCACATCTATCTCCAAGACTGCTAGCCTCTCTATATACACACCACAAAATGAGAATCCACAAAGAGAAGCCATGTGCAACATAATATTGAGAATACCACATTTAATGTGGGAAAAAGTCTTAAAAGCCCATGACACAGTACAAAGGATATAGAACCCATAATACGGTACAAATTATATAGGTATACAAAATTCTTTGGAGATATACCTATGTACAACAAAATTCTTTTCTAATTTTGTAATGTACTCTAATATAACCATAGCGTGCAGATATCGAATATCGTAAGTGTGAAACAATTGGAGATACTAGAAGCCATATCCAATCACAGTCATGTCCCCTTATTTGTGTTGCATTATGGCGACATGAATACTTTGGCGAAAAACAACCTATATGAGAAGATTAGGCCAATGAAGGGAGTGGATAAAACACGGACAAGTGTGACCTCAACATAACTGGGTTGCTTGCGCGAAGTCCATAAGTTATCTCTTCATAAGGGTTTCAAGCTAGAAAAGGCAAAAAGCAGATGTTGTGAGGAACAAAATTCGACTACGTTTACTAGATGTTAACAAGACCAGCTGAAAGATGGATGGGACATGAAATGAGTTATTGATTTAACGAGTCTAAGGGTTATGAGAAGCATCCAAGTGGACAGCTGAGACACATTTAAGTTGATGCCAAAATATGTTAGCAAAGTAAATGTAGGCAGCAAAATTGAAAGCCATAGGCTCCAATAGTGATGTTCCTTTAATACTAAAGGAGGGGAATAGCGGTGAGACAACATTCAGAAATATGAGAAGGTATGATTTTAGAATTAGGTCAGTTCAACCCAAGTAATATGGCCATGGATGACACCTTCTAGTAAATTTTTGGAGAGCCATTACCCTTCTATTCCGAAGGTTCTAGCCTTCTAGGTAATAGTTGCCCAATATGACATATTGGATACTTACGTTTCAAAAGGCCCCGAGCAAGGATGATCAATGAATTGATCTAGGATCCAAAAAATTTTGGAGACCGAAGCAGCTTTAGTGAGACAAGAGGTCACAAGGTTGGTAACATCAATTTATGCAGGACGAAGAAGGAAAGGTAGTATTTTAAGCAAATCAAAGTCCAGCCAAGTGTATCACAAGGTGGAATGGGTGATCCAAGGACGGCCCATACTCAATTGATAGGTCACATGAAAAAATGAGGGATTGAGGGTACAAGAGGCCCAGCAAGGATATGGTCTACTGGGTATATCGCCACAACAGATATCTGCCTCCTTGAAACCATGGCTTCCATCATTGTCCCTCTTCTCTTCTCTCTCTTTCCCTCTCCCCTTTACCTTCTTCCCACTTTTTCCACTCTCTAGTTCACTGTTCTTGCTACTGTTGTCTCCCTTGTCTGCTTCAACTCTCTAATTTACCTTGTAAATTTATTAAATATTCTATTTCTAATTTTCTATTTTTTATCTTTTAACTTTCCCAAATTTTATCTTATCCATTTTATCAACTCATAGCATCACTGTGACAACACCAGTCTAAACAGTTTGAACAGGTGACCAAACCAGAAGTCAGTGGCAAGTTGAGTTCTAGAAAATCATTACAGCAATTGAGCAATAAGCATAACAGATAGTATTTGAAAAAACAATGAGATGGAGAACCCTCTGCTATCAAAATTATCAAGAAAAGATTCCAGAAAACTTCCATGAAAACATTATATTTGAATGAGCAGTGTCCCTTTCTTTCTCAAAAATAAATGGCGGGCATCCAATTCCCACATATTTCATTCGACATTTTGAATAAAAAAGACACTTTATGCTAGGAACAGGATTATGGCCCAGGAACTTTGTCTTCTTTTTTTTTTTGAATAAAAAGTGCAATGCTCAACAATGTAAAGCTGGAAGGCGTGAGTCCCTAATAAGACGGAAACTTCCATGGTTCAATGAATCATACAAGGTAATCAATACCTCCATCTCCAACAAATCAATCAAAAACCTAAAACTCTTTTAGCAAATAAATAACAATGATACAGAAGGAGCTTAATGAATCTCCTATTATACCCCTCAGGAAAGTAATAATAAAAACCAACAACACAAATAAGTAAATAAGTATTAAATAAATGAACCAAACAGTTAAATGGATACAAAGAGAAATCGAATCATGGTTTTGCAGACAACTATTTCACGACTCAAGCCATGCCTAAGAACAAAACAAAACAATATACCACTTTATAAATTAACAACAACACAATGTTCGAACCAAAATCCAGGAAAACAATCTCATATCTCTTCATGTAATAAACATACATATTTAATATAATAAAATATCAGCAGTAAACCATCAAAACCAACGATGCCCACCGGCAATGGATTCCTCCGTGTGTTCAGACGACGATGTGCTGCCAGATGAGCGAGAAGCACGCTTTCGAGACCCCATCACTTTTTCACATGCTACAACCCAAAAACCCGAACCCTATTCACAGAGAGATCAAACAAGTAAACGATCATGCTCTCTCTCCCTAAACCCTAACTCTCTGAACACAGATTCTATCACTTCATAAATACAAGAAATCCTCAATCCCAATGCCCAAATCCCAAATATAGGCTTGAATTCGTTTAAATTCTCAGATCGAGGACGGCGAAGATCAAAGTCAAAGCTCTGGTAAAGAAAAGGGCATATCCAAATCCATTAAGGAGGAGAAAGAAGAGAAAAAAACTGGCAGGAGAGATGCTTTCGCTTGTACGCAAACCAAGAAAAGGTTGAAGAAATAACGCGCATCTGCAATTTTCGTAAGAGAAATAACGCGCACCTGCAATTTTCGTAAGAGAGAGATAAATAAGCCTCGCCTTTAGCTCTAATGCCTCACATGTCCCTATCGTCTTTTTAGGGAATAGCAAAGGAAAACGCAATCTTTTAGAGAATATGTATTATATTCGAAGCGTAGTTTATGTCAACTCCCTCGGTCAAGTCATCTATTCAGGATTTCAATCTCAAATTTTGGTAATCACTTTAGAATTACTCGATGATGATTTTAAAAAAAAAAAATTAATTTTATTAATATTTAGATTTTTTTTATAAATATATCTTAATTTTTATCTTTTTTTTAAAAAAAACCTACATATTTTAAGTACAGTAAAACAATTGTGCATACCTTACCATCCCTTATAAAAACTCCCTCCAACCCCATTCTTACAAAAATTAAACGGAATCAGATTTGTATTTAATTCTTTTTAATATTATCTATTATTTCTCTCTCTAATTTGTTTTTATCTATTATTTCTCTCTCTCAATCTTTTCTCTTTCTAAGTCTCATTCTCTTACAGGATTATCTCTTATTTCTCTCTCTAAATCTTTTCTCTTTTTAACTCTATTTCTCTCCTTTTCTCTTTCTAACTCTCTTTTTCTCTCCAAGGAGATTTGTATACTCTTTTTCTCTCCAAGGAGATCTGTATGCACTTTACCATCCCTTATAAAAACTCTTTTCAACCCCATCCCTCTTTTATTTCTCTCTCTAAATCTTTTCTCTTTCTATCTTTCTCTCTTCAAGGAGATTTGTATAGCAACCAATGCATACCTTACTATCCCCAATAAAAACTCCTTTTAACCCTATCCCCTATAAAAATCAGATGGAGACGGATTTGTATCGCGTTGGAATCGTGTTTTTTGAGTTGATGAAGTAAGTAGAGAGAGAAAGAAAGTTAGTGAGAGAAAAAATTTAGAGAGAGAAAGAAGAGATAAAAAAATTAGAAGAATAGATAAATATTAAAAAGACTTAGAGAGATAAAAAAGAGATAAACATAAAAAAATTTAGAGAGATGAAAGTATAGGTTAGTTTTTACGGTACATAAAATGGCATATAACATATATTAGTTTTTACGTGAAGGTTTTTTTTTTTGTAAAAAAAATACCCAAAATTGAAAAAAAATGGTGTAGATGAGGTTTATGAAAGTTGAAGGCTTTTTTTTCTAAATAGATAAAAATTAAAGTATATTTGTGATAATTTCCTTTTAAAATTAGAAGGTTATTATTTAATCTTGATATATTATTCTTTTAAGTGCTTTGAGGTACAATTAGGAATTTTTTATTAAAGTTAATCTAAGTGTTAAAGATGTTATATCTACAAATTTAGGGTCCTAAAACTAATCCTGATTTTATCCGAGTGAGTAAATAGACAGTTTACTCTTGAGGGAGTAAAATATCTTTTGGCATGTGTTAAGAGGGGAATAATGATAGGATGCTTAGTATGTCAACTTGCTTAAAAGGGGCATTATGGGAGTATTTTTATTTAATTAGTTGTAGTTGAAGAAAGGGACGTAGTTATCCAACATCTAAAACAAGATTATGTGAAAAATTTTGTTTAATTAGATGTATTTGAAGATGGTCGTCTGTCATCTCTCATCAACAAATTTCATAGTATTATTCAGATAGTGGAGGCTTCATGCGCACAAAGGGTAAATTGTTAAAAGACTCTATTTACCCCTATTGATTGATATTAATGTATAAAAGTTGCTGGCAGAAGTAATAATCAGAATAATAAAAATAAAAAATAAAAAGGGTGGAGTACCCCTCTCGAGAGGCATCCCAAAAGTTCTTTTCACAAATATTAGTTCTTAATCTATTTCACAAAAACCTCTTACAAAAACAACTCATACTAATCTTAAGATTTATTTTTTTAAAACTAACCAACTCAATTGCTACCTTATCATCAAAACAACTCACACACCAAAATCCTCCCTCCTTCCACTTAATTCATCAAAACAACTACCAAAATCCTCCATGCTCCCACTTAACTTATCATATTGTACTCCATATTCCTGAGAAAATAAACAAAAATAAAATAAAATTTTGATAACTCCAATTTTCATTTGCATCATTTTCCCAGAGTTGGGAGAAGCTCGACCTCAAGTTTATGGAACTCGAAAATTTTCCTCCATCATCTTCTCCACTCTATTCGAAGTACAAAATTTCACCCTTGTCATGTCGAACTTTTGATTGTTGATCCTAATCGAACAAAATCGTGATATGCTTAAAATATCAATTGTGATGCCAAAATCTCTTGCACCTTCTACCACTTGTATTTCATAAGTCTTAATAAACTCAACTTCCGAAGCAAGTTGTGATGTGCGATTAAGCTCTGATTGCCAACTACTAAATAGATCTCATAGGCTTTGTTTTATTATTTTGCTAATACGCTCTACTAGGTCTTCTTTGAGTATCTCAAAATTTGATCTAAGCTCTTCATAATTAGATTAGCAGGGATTTCAAGGTTCTAATACAAACTAATGCATGGAAAAATGATAACCAGAATAATAATAAAAAATGGTAGAGATAATATACCTTCTTTCTTGTTCTACAATGAAGTCCACCCCAAAAGATCTTTTCACAATATCAACTTTGTGCTCAAATCCAATTCTTTTCTCTTTATTCTCCACTTAATATCTTGCTATCTTCTTGATCTTCACCTCACTTGACACACAAGATATCATGTAAATCTATTTCCATTATTAAATCCTTCCTAAAAGATTAATTCCTAATATATGTTAAGTGGGATTGAGTTTTGAATCACCGATCTCATCTTTTCATTAATGGAGAGCTCAAATATATACAAAGCAAGACAAAACGGTTCCCTAATGATTAGGAATACAAATACTACATGGTTATAACTAAAAAGAGACTCAGTCTCTATAATTTGAAATTTTAAATCTGGATGTGCTGGCTTTTGTAACAGTAATACTCCCCTTTAAGCTGATATGTGTGACAAAAGAACACCCAGCTTGCTTAAACAAAATATAAATTGTTCTTTGCCTAAAGCCTTAGTCAAAATATCAGCAAGTTGATGCTTTGTAGGGACATAAGAAGTGGATATGAGACCAGCTTGAATTTTTTCTCTGATGATATGGCAATCAATCTCGATGTGTTTCGTTCTTTCATGAAACACTGGGTTGGCTGCAATGTGTAGAGCGACTTGATTATGACAATCGAGGTGCATTGGTTGTGGATGGTAAATCCCCAAATCTGAAAATAGAGTTTTTAGCCAAATTAATTCACAAGCAGTGGTTGCCATTGAACGATACTCAGCCTCTGCTAATGATCGAGACACTGTAGATTGTTTCTTTGTTCGCCAAGAGATCGGGCTGTTCCCAAGATAGGTAATAGAATCAGTCGTTGAACACCGGTTAGTAGGGCAACTGGCCCAATCGAAATCACAATATGCAGAAATTTAAAATGAGTTTTTAGATGATAGAATGAGCCATTAGTTTGGTGTGCCTTTGATGTATCTAAGAACTCGATGTGTCGCTGCAAGATGTGGCTCTCTTAGTTGATGCATATATTGACTGAGAATGTGGACGTCAAAATTGATGTCTAGACAGGTTATGGTGAGATATATCAATCTACCAACTAGCCTCCTATATGATTTTGGGTTGCTTAGCAATGTTCCATCTTCGGAGGAAATCTTAAGATTTTGTTCCATTGGAAGATATAAGGGTTTGGCTCCTAGAAAACCCGTTTCCTGTAAAATGTCAAGGATATATTTTTGTTGGGTGAGTAGAATTCCTTGAGATGATATTGCAACTTCAATTTCAAGGAAAAATTTTAACTTTCCTAGATCCTTGATATTGAAGCGTTGCATGAGAAAGTGATTGACTTTTTGTATTTGATTTCCATCATTATCTGTGAGGATGATATCATCAACATATACCAAGACATTAGTGATGAGATTCCCAGACTTCAAGGTGAATAGGGAGTAGTTGGCAGCTGATTGGTTGAACCCGGCATCTAGAAGAGCAAGAGAGAACTGTTGAAACCAGTTTCTTTAGGCTTGTTTCAGCCCATATAGAGATTTTCGTAGCTTGCGACTTTGTTCTCCCCTTCTCCAGAAAAACCCGGTGAAACTTTCATGTATACTTCTTCATGTAAATCGTCGCGCAAGAAGGCGTTGTTGACATCGAATTGAAAAAGGGGTCATTGTTTAGATGCTGCAACTGCAAGCAAGCCTTTGACCATAACTAATTTGGCGACGGGTGCAAAAGTTTCATGGTAATCCAATCCCTCTATTTGGGTATACCTTTTTGCAACTAAGCACACTTTGTACCGTTCAATGGTTCTATCTGCCTTATATTTGATATTGAATATCCATTTGCAACCAATGGGTTGTTTCCCAGGTGATAGAGATTCTATGGTCCAAGTCTTGTTTAGTTCAAGGGCTTTTATCTTTGCTGCCATGGCTTCATACCAAAGTGGATCCTTCACGGCCTAAGAGAAACTTGTGGGTTACTTGTGAGAACAAATAGTGGAAATGAAAGCTTGTGGGATAAAGAAAAACTGGGTGAAGCAAGATAAGGTTGGATAGGATACGCTTTACCTGAGGGTGGCTTTATGGAAGAAGGTTCTTGCTGTGATGGACTATAGTCGGCAGTGGAGCAAATGTAATCCTAAAGTTTGGATGACTGAACATGGGAACGTGAAGATCGACAAAGAGAAGATGGAGGCTCTTTCACGGGTTGGTGAAGTCCTATATCTTTTTCAAGATTGAATGGTGGCAAAATAATTGGAACAACAGGTTCATCATTTGATAGACTAGGCGTACTGTTGGTGTCAAGTTCTTGTATAGGTTATGGAAGGACAACATGAGTGTGGTTATGCTTGGATGGCATGGCTTTGAAGGGAAACTCTTCTTCGCGAAAAATGACATCTCGACTGGAAAAAATAGTTTTACTATCTAGATCAAATACCCGATATCCTTGTTGGCCCAAAGGATATCCAACAAATATGGATGGTTTTGAGCGCAGAGT